TACAATCTCTTTAATTTTCCTCAGGATGCAAATTCCAAACAGTTTTTGTACCTCTGACTTAAAGAAATTAAAAGCTTTATCTATATTAAAGTCCCTAAAATCTTCAATCCAATTCACTCTAATTTTCATAGATTTTATAGATTTCATAGACATTAGGGCTGGAAGGGACCTTGGAAGATCATGGAGTCCAGCCCCCTGCCCCAGGGGCAGGAAGTCAGCTGGGGTCATAGGATCCCAGCAAGAAAAACATCCAGGTTTTTCTTGAAGGCGTTCCAAGTAGGTGCTTTGAACCACCTCCGGTGGCAGTCTATTCCAAACCTTGGGGGCCCAGACAATAAGGAAGTTCTTCCTTATGTCCAGCCTGAAACAGTCTTGCAGGAGATTATAATCGTTTGACCTTGTCATCCCTTGGGGCGCTCTGGTGAACACCCCTTATAAACTTATAGGTGGCCATCAGACCGCCTCTGAGACTGCGCTTTTCTAGCCTGAAGAGTCCCATAGCTCTCAGCCTCTTGTCATAAGGTCTGTTTTCCTGACCTCTGATCATGTTCATGGCTCTCCTCTGCATGCACTGTCTCAAGCTTCTCCACATCTTTTTTGAATTGTGGAGCCCAAAACTGGATGCAGTACTCCAGCTGCGGCCTCACCCAGGCCAAGTACAATGGAAGAATGACGTCCTGGGATTTGCTTGAGACGCATCTATGAATGCAAGCCAGCGTTTTGCTCGCTTTACTAGCCGCAGCATCACATTAAAGGCTCATGTTCATCTTGTGGTCAGTCCTGACCCCCAAGTCTCTCTCGTCCGTAGTGCTAGTCAGCGTAGCACTATTGAGCCTATAAACATGCTGCAGGTTTTTCCTCCCAGGGTGGAGAACCTTGCATTTTTTGGTGTTAAACACCATCAGGTCCTCGTCCACCCATTTCCTGAACCTGTCAAGGTCAGCCTGGATTACCCCCTGTCCTAACGTGTGGATGCTTTACCCCAAAGTTTGGTATCATAGGCGAACTTGGCCAGTCTGCTTCTGACTCCAATGTCCACATCATTTAATGAAGAGGTTGAACAATATAGGTCCAAGGACAGAGCCTTGTGCGACCCCCTGGTCACAGGGCACCATGACGATTGACTTCCGTCAACCACCACCTTCTGGGTTCAACCACGGAGCCAATTTCCCAGCCAGCGGATCGTGGTGGACCCCTGGCCGCAGTTGGCCTTAATTTCTCAACCTGCTCTTTTGAAACTGACAGTTTAAACTAACTTGCTTGTTTTTGTTTCACCTTCTAAGTGAAACAGAATCAACTTGTGATTACGGGTTCATGGCTATTTTCCATGACCAGTTCTTCTCCTATTCAGTCCTCCTCACTACTTTTCAAAGCCAGGTCTAGCATCACATGTTGTTACTTCTGTGCTATTTGGTGAAATCTGTTGACAATCACATCCATAAATAACTGGGCCCTACAATTATTAGTAGCATTTATCTCTGATCTTCATCTTGGACACAGCTCCCAGCAGTTTTTTTTTCTTGGATCATATGATCTTTTGCCTTCTACAAATGCAGCCCAGCAGGTCCATAAATCTCAGCTCTTACCCTAAATCCAATAGAACCTCTTTCACAATACTTCCCCAACTAATTTGGACTGAAAACATTGCTATTCTATCCATGCTATTACTTCTTACTCCTGTATAGTTTGCCAGTCATTTCTGTATAATGGTTCCCTACCATCTTAACACTTATTTCCATCATTCCTGAATAGTGCCTACCAAATGATACCTGCATTCTAGTCATGGTTGCTGTTCTGCTATATAATATCTGGATTCACATTCTGTACTAGTATTCTCTCTCGCTGCCCAACCTACTTGCATTAGTGTGATAGCATCTCATTGTTTCTCTTTAACCTCACTAGATGAGCTTGTGAATGCAGTATATTTTTCATTTTAGCTTTCTTTTGACCCTAGTAAAAATTGTTTTAACAGAGTCACTGGAGGGGAACTGTTTGAAGACATAGTCGCAAGAGAATATTACAGTGAAGCAGATGCCAGGTAAGTCCTTGTTTCCCTGAATATTGAATATTATTAGATTTTAAACCATTGCCGTTGATTATACTAGTGTATTTACTTGTGTTTAAACCTATCACAGTGTTTGGCATCAGTTAGAGCAGAACAAATATAACCCTCAGCTACAGTTTCCTCCTGGGTTCAGTTAGGCTTGGAGGAAAGGTCCAGTCTAATGACTTGACTTCAGGACTGGTAAGGGGCAGCCCTTATGTAAATACTAATCCTTTTAAGTTAAGGGTAAAACCCACACAGAGCTGAGGATTTTGCTCTAATTCTAATCTCTTGGTGCACCCCATTGTGTCCTCAAAAACCACGTAAATCAGTTTTCCCATCTGCTGAATGGAAATACTACCTCATACGGAAATTGTGAGGTTCTTTGTTAGCTGTTTGCTAATGCAATATGTACTAAATAATACTGCTGTTCTGATTCCAAAATCTTTCCCTTCCTAAAAAAAATATTAAAAATATTATATTGCTTTTCATTAGCAAACTGTAGTAACTAGTCTCTCTATCTGTGCAAAGTTGGGATCTTTACCTATTCATTGTAAATGCTTATTGGAATAAAAAGAAATCGAAGCTTACCGTTGTTTTACTGGGGTATAGGCATATAGGTCCTGTTACCCACTTCAGAACTCTTTGACCGTCATGATGTTACACATCTGCAAACAATTCTAGTCTGTAGCTTTCCTGAATGCCCTTCTTCACATTTGTCCCATTGCTAAAAGTTGTGGGGAAATTTATTTTAAAATAAATCTGACATGATATTTTTCATCTATTTATTCCTAATACACATGGTACATAGGTGCCATATTGTAATACAATATTTAGTCAGTCTTTTGTAGTGGGGAAGACTATTTTATTATTATTATTAAGAACTTAGGAATTTCATGTAAAACAAATGTGAGAAGTTTTTTAAATAACAGCACAACACTCCTTTCATTTAAATTGCATTTAGCAGATGGCAGGAAAATATTACAGGTATCCCAAGTGTATATAACGAATGGTATAACGGGAAAATGGTGAGCAACGAGAATTTAAGCTGAATATTAAAAAGCTTCCTGATATTTTAATTGATTAGATTGAGAAATAAGTTCCCAAGGGAAACGGTGGAAACCTTATTCATTAGAGCATTTAAAACTATGCTGGACATAACATGCTGCAGGATAGAAATCTGGATTAACAACTATGGGGGGCTGAAAATATAATTGAACAATTTTTACATATCTAATTCTATGGAGACAGTTACAGGTTGTATTGTTGATGCCAAAGACCAGTGATTATGTTTAAAAATATTATTTAAAAAAATAACATAATGTTTCTGTTAAAAGTTATTACATGATGGGAAGGGTTTCATATTCATATGATATATATACTGTATAAATTAAGTGAAATATATCTAAATGTACCAAGCATGTATATATACACACATATATATATCTATATCTGTGTGTGCATGTGTGTGTGAGTATGTGTGGATGTGGGTGTATATATAGTTTGTAATTGTTTATGTGTCCCTTTAGAAATGGTTGATGGCCTTTTATAAATGCATATTCTATAATATAAAATAGTTCTTGTTCCTGAAAACCCTTATTCACACAAGCGGTGGGAGTCAGTGAGTTAGGGACTATTCACATGTGAAAGTGTTTTCAGAATTGGGCTCTACTTACTGATTTTTATGACCATCCTTTTTGAATTTCATGGCTAAAATCTTCCAGATGAGCAATATCAAGTCCATGAATGTCTAAGTCCAAGACTTCTGATTCAATGTCAAGGAAAAACTGAAGCCCTTCTCATTAACTGGAACAGTGGTCAGAGTTCAGCTGGCACTGTACATTGGTTAAAAAAAGTTAAACATGGGCACGTAAAAACAGGCTACTAATTCTATATTTTAAGCACCAAAATAAAAGTAAAAATTTTTGTCTCCAGTTTTTAATTCTCCTTTCTGTTTCACATGTGACACCAACCCAGGCTATTGTTTGACATTGCTATTTTAAATGAAGGTATATAGCTCCTGATTGAATAATTTAAATTTATTTTCCCATTGATACTGTATATAAGAAACCATTAAATTCAAAATGGCTCAAATTTGGTTATCCTTAATTTTTGTTTTTACTCGTTACTTTTACTTTTCATCCCTACAACTCTGTTTCTGACCCTCATCTTGTTTCAGAACTTGTGTTAATTCTGGACTTCCAATGATAACATGTATAGTTTTGTAAAACTATAACACTTCTCAAAAAGTAGTCAAAATCTACTAAATATTATCCTGCCCACTCATTTTTTTTTACTATTGATTTTGGTTAATATTTGATATATGTTTTAAAGATCCCCATAGCACTCAATGAAGACCTAACACAAGCTGTTCTGTCTGGTGACGTCATACATTATATGTTAAGTGTCTTTTTTTATTGTTCTTTTTTTCTTTTTTTCTTTTTTTTTAAGTTTGTGTTGGAGCTGGAGATATCTTTATATTCAGCATTGTTTTGTTCCACTTCAATGTACAATTAAAATTTGTCAGGAAATGTAAAACTGGTTTTGTTCCTTATAATTTTTTTAAGTTTTGATTTATTTTGTATTTAATGTGATTATGTGCCTTTAAAATGTTCTCCCTTCCATTCTGCCCTTGTATCTTTGCAGTCATTGTATACAGCAGATTCTAGAAAGTGTTAATCATTGTCATCTAAATGGCATAGTTCACAGAGACCTGAAGGTCAGTATCTGGTGCCCATAAATTGGATAAGAATTTTATTTTTTTCTGGGTAAGGGCCGAGGGTGGGATGGCTGAGATGTTCCCTTGCCTATCCTCCTCGCCCTCAGAACGACTAAGCGAAGAAATAATGCATGATGCGTCTTTCCAGTCTGCCAGTCTGCAGGCCTAACATACATCATGGCAAAAGGGGAAA